TTTTTTGTAAGATACTTGGACCTCTATAAGTTGACGACGTCGCTTCCGAACTGTACTAACTTTATTGTGATATTGACATCATTTAGTGAATTAGCATTGAGTATGTTCACTGGTTTGATCGTATCGTGAGAATGGATGACGAAATTTCAGCGAAATAGGTGTTTAAGGCGGTAGCTGGAAAAATAAAGACCATGTCTGTGGTGCAGTGCTTGAAGAAAAGTGCTTGCGGCATTCCAAAACCCGATAATGAGTTGTAATCATCAATTAAGTAAATAAGTGTGTATTTGTGTACATATGGATCACTGAAGACCCGCTGATTTAATTCAAAGAAAGTAACACTCTTACTCTTTTTTAAAAGAGTGAATAGTCTTTTGGCTCTTTGAGTCAAAGATCATTTTTAGCCAAATAAAAAAGTATTTTACGTAGAAATCCGTAAAATGGAAGCGTGGCAATTCGATCTTATATAATGTTCTCTTAGACCAAATTTTATGTGTAGTATTTTCGAGTTGCCACGCTATTTTCTGTCCAGCGTTGCCACCAGTTTGAAAGTTATAACAGTTTGATGTTCGATGCCGTTTCAATAGGACATTTTGTGTTTATGGGATGATACTAACATGGGATGATCCTCTCTTGACTTAATTCTGGCTAATCTACTGTGCGAAATATTTCTTGTTTCTTTAAAGAGTACATACCGTGGCCAATTTGTTTAGTAATGGTCAGTTACCACCAAATCACATATTATAGAAATAATCAAAATCGGTTTTATCATTTTTGATTATTAATCATTTCGTTTATAATGTTTTAAAACAACAATTACATAAAAAACTACGCAAAATCAATAAGTAAATAGTTTTTCTTAAATTCCTTCCGTTTCTCTTCACATAAGTATTATTTGCATATTCCGTACAGATTTTTTCGGAAACAAAGTTTGAATCATGTACAAATTTTACACCCAATTAAAGATTTTATCAGATACAATTCTTGTAATAATCTTAAATCAGTCCTGCACAGGTACATATACTATCGAGTATATTAGTTGTAACTTTTTTTTACATATATTAATATGCAAATATGTAGATGTTTCTTTTTAAATCCGAAAAATGTAATACACTTGTACCGAAAATCCTTTAAATTCCCATTGTGCTTCATGCACGAAACTTGTGTACATAACTTAAAAATGTGCCTTTGAGCTACAAAAAAATAGAGTTGGAAAAAATAAAAATAAAAAATTAAAATAAATGTTTGTTCTCGTGCTTATAAGAGAGTACGGAAAAACCATAAAGCATGGATCTAGTTGGGAACTATGAATGAATGCCTCACTTCTACTCACAGAATTACAAGTGCCACCAATGTTTTTTCTTTTGTGCCAGTAAAAAGTTACACTGCACATGTTTCTTAATATATTTTTTCATACAAATAAACTGAATTGTACTAGAGACACATATCCAGTATATGCACAATGACATATACATGCAGTTATGTGCTGTACTTCCTACGACACATGCACATACCTATAAGCAGGCATATTCAAAGTTTTAAGTATGCTAAGCAATTGCAGGACAAAGGCACGTTCATATCTTCACCCAGAAAAATATAAAATGTATTCATCAAAAAAATGCTGTTGAAAAAAGACAAAACCAAAATGGTTGAAAGAAAAATTGTGTTGCACAAGTGTAACTCAGTGAAATTTAGACCCAAAATAGTGGCTGCGACTCGTATTCCTCAACTAAAACCTATGCCGTATGTGCTCGGAATAAAGTGTTTTGTATTCCTTGTACGTATGCGCTCGCGGCTATTAGCAAAACTGCTTGTTCTGCTCGGTTCTATTTTGAATCCTACATTTTCTACATTTTCCACATTTTCCACATTCTGTTCGCATTCCTCCATGGCACTTGTACGAGAACACACAGAGCACAGGGCCCGTACTCCAATTTGCTGCAAGTGCCGGTTGCAATCAGTGTGGCAGTAGTACAAATGCGATGTGTGACTATTGCTGCCAATCCTGTATCCACAATTACACTTGCTGCAACTCGAGTTCAGTTGGATTCCTGCTTGCCATTGAAATTGGGTCAAAGTTCAAATATGATAAAAATCAACATCTGAATTTTAAAAGCGACTTAAGCATACGTGAATTGAACGCTAGTTGAGTTGGTTAAGTAAAATAAAATTGCGGTTCTTAAGGATATACCATAAAATAAAAGTGCTGTTTCAGCAAGAAATTACAAGTTAAATTAGAAGAAAATTATCCGCAATGATTAATTTTTAATAATACTTTTTATGGGAAAAGTTTTACTAACCTTAAAAAAATGCTGAACGTTTGATAAATATTATCTTTTAATTATGTGCTCTTGAATGAGCATTTAACTGTTAGATATTAAATAATTTTTTTTAAGCATGTTGTTATTTAATTAAAGTTAACAAAATAGATAAAAAATTCGTTTGCATATTTAATTAATTTTAATTAAGTGAATTTTAAGACAGTGAATTTAAATTTTTAAATATTGTAAATATTTTTTTGTATGAGTTCTATATTATTACTATATGTATAATTATATGTAATGTATATATATATAATTACCAAGCTTCCCTCAATATCTTAGGGTCCAGCTCATTAGGTCTCCGGGACATAGGGACATCCTGGATAACTGTAGGGTGGACACGATTACCAAGAGATGCGCTTTATTTCCTAACATTCAATTTTTAGATATAGGCATTCTACTTGCTACAATTAAACTGGCAATTAAACAAAAATACCTGAGCATAGTTAAACAATACTATGTTGACGAATTCTGCTGGCAGATCTCTGAGTTGACTTGGTCTAACTGGGACAAAAAACATAATAGTCAGCTATTTCAACTAAGGCGGAACCTGCTCAGCACTACAGTATCTGTGCTGACCGGCCACTGCATAATTCAGAGGCATGCTATGAGACTGGGTCTACCTTATAATGTCTTTTGTCGTGAATATTGGAAACTTTCTCTAATAATGAGAAATATCTTTAGATATTTAGATATTTAGATCTTTAGATATTTCTGGGATATCTGGGAGGAGATGAAATATCTTCGGGGTCCCTTTTCTTCCGAGCTAATCGAGCTGTTATCTTGCAATATTAGGGACTTAGCCCAATTTATATAACTGTCAGATTGGTTTTTCTTTACCCAATAGGGAAGCCGTTACTTTTTTCAGCTTAGGTCTTATATCTTTTAATCTATGTACAAACCAACACTACAATGGGCCATTACTTGAGGTCAAGTGGGTTTTCTCTTCAATTTTTGTTATATTACAAAGAATGTAGCTAACTTTGTTTAATAACCATGAGAGAATTTGGAAAAGAAATGCAACCCAGATCCGTTTGTTTATATTTTTACTTTCCACATGATATTTACTATACTATATTTTATATATATATATATAAACTATATTTTTTTTGTTGCTCCAATAGAAACATGTGAGTTTCTATTTGCTCCATGTGCTTTCAAAATAAAAGATATATCCTAAGATGATTTTAGTCTTAAAACCAAGATTTCTTGGTAACTTAGCATCAAAATAAAGTTTGTCGTGGCAATCATATTTATAAATAAAGTAAATCATTTATGGATATACTATCAAAATTTCGTGTCATTTAGTAAAAAATAAGCGAAACTATCTTTCGCTATTCAGTGTTTAATATTGAATACCGTTTAAAATATCATTCACAATTTCAATATCGTAAAAAATCTACGATATTAAGAAAATTCCAATGTTGTATAGAAGATAACCATTATCTTAAACGAGTTTTTATATTGTTCTAAATCAGAATAAAATTTAATTTTTGTGTGCTATACAATTATATATACAATTAGATGATTATTAAAATTATCTATATCTAAAAATGATCTATATATAGATAAGTTAAAGATAAATCGAGATATCGACAACTGCTTTAATCTACTCTTAATCGTATACTGTAAACATACTTATTAGTAAGGATACTTATAAAATGGGCTTTTTTTATAGATCCTTTTATTTACTTTTCTAAATTAGATGAGTGTTATCCTTCATAAGATATTTAACAAATCCTCTTATTTTTTATATGAACTGGTTTGTTAAAACAATAATGGAAATTTAAGTAAATTTTTTTATTTAAAATGATCATTTATTTTAATATAAATTTAAATTCTTGATATTTTTAACATTGGTCAATTAACTTTCGTTGAATAGAGAAAACGTTAAAGTGCTTTCCATTACATGGTAAAAATTTTATATATAATTTACCTTTGCATATAGAATTTTTCATCATTAGCATGATATGCTCTGCTATTCACGTAGTCGAGGGTGTCATTTTGGCATTTTTTTACCTTTTTTTTTGCTTTATGCTAGGAATTTCATTAGGTAAATTGGTTCCTACTGTAAATGTACTTTGCATTGCCTTTTATATATATTACTTTTTTTTTTCTCTCAATTTTTTTGATAAATGAATCAACAAAATGAAATTGAATTCCTTTTGTAACATATATATTTTCCTTTTTCCGCCATTTTTGTTACTTACTTTCTTTTTTAATTCCATTTTATTTGTAACAAAACTGCCATGACAATAATTTTGTTGCTAGTGTTTTTGCATTTTAAGGAATGCACAAGGAGGCAAATAAAACAAGGACTAAAAGGACATACATGTGTGTTTATTTAAGTACAAAAATGCTGACACAAAATCTTAATCAAAGTTATTAGAATGAAGCTTCACTCTCAGGAGCTTAGACTCTTCAGG